ATCTTACATTCCCTGTTGGGAGAACATAAAGTCACTGATGAAGTCAGGAATGAACACACACAGAGAGAGAGAGAGAGAGAGACAGAGAGAGAGAGAGACACACACACAGAGAGAGAGACACACACACACACACAGAGAGAGAGAGACAGAGAGAGAGACAGAGAGAGAGAGAGAGAGAGAGAGAGAGAGAGAGAGAGAGAAGGGGAACTGAATCTGTCAACTTTTGAGATCCATTTAGCAATTTACAAAAAATACTGAAGGGGCTGGAGAAATGGCTCAGCAGTTAAGAGCACTGGCTGCTCTTACAGAAGATCCAGGTTTGATTCCCAGCACCCATATGGTAGCTAACAACCATCTGTAACTCCAGTTCCCGGGGAATACAACACCCTCTTCCGACCTCCATGGGCATTGCATGACAGGGGTGCACTTATATACATGTAGGCAATACACTCATACACATAAAGTAAAAATAATAAATAAAAAAAATTTCTTGGTCTTTTTGAGACAGGGTCTCCCTGTAGCCCCAGCTGTCCTGGAACTCACTATGCTCGGCATAAAATATTTTTTAAAAAAGAAATACTAGCTGAGTATGGAGGTGTACACCTTTAATCTTAACACTTGGGAGGCAGAGGTAGACGGATCTCTGTAAGTTTGAGGCCAGCCTGGTGGTCTACATAGTGAGTTCCAGACAAGCTGGGGCTACAGGGAGACTCTGTCTCAAAAAGACAAAAAAAAGAAAGAAAGAAAGAAAGAGAGAGAGAGAGAGAGAGAGAGAGAGAGAAAGAAAGAAAGAAAGAAAGAAAGAAAGAAAGAAAGAAAGAAAGAAAGAAAGAAAGAGAAATACTGAAGACCCTAGTAACTTAGGGAACTCTAGAGGAGAACAGGGCCCATCACAGGGAGGTGGTGATGGGGAGCTTAGAGTTGAGGAAGGGCCAACTGGAACATCCAGGTGACACAAATGCAGAAAGTATATGAGAGCACTGGGAATTTGTACACTCATATCTGGTGATAAGACTTTTGTAGCTGTGATAATAATATTGTGTAGGGGTTTTTTTCCTCTCCTTGTTTGGTTTGTTTTTACATTGCTGGGGATGAAACCCAGGTCTTTGTAGGTACAAAGCAAGAGCTCAACCACTGAATCACAGCCCCAGCTCTTAGTTCGTTTTTTATTTTATTTTATTTTGAAGAGCCCTTATTGGTTAGGGATACATACTGAAAATTTCACAGTTGAAATATTCTTGACAGCTGAGATTTGTAGTAGAACACTGGTGTGGGGGAGCTGGCCAGATCATTGTTGAAGTGGGGTGAAGGGCACATGGGGGCTCATTATACTTTTCGGCTGACTTTTACATTTCTAATAGTCTAAAACTTTCCATAATAAAAAGTTGTAAAAACACCAGGCAGTACTCCCAGAGATCCAAATTCATTAGTCTGGGTTTCTGCTCAGGCACTGGTAGTTTTTAAGGCTCCCAGGTGTTTTTAATCCTCAGCCAAGGTTGAGAACTAGTGTGATCATTCACGTGAGAGATGCCAGGGCCTGTGCCAGTTCCAGGACTGAGGCAGAGGTCACAGGGAATGGAATGGGCCCCGAAGGTCAAGGAGCTGAGCACATGGTCCCTGAACATGGGGGAAGAATGAGGAAGAGGGAGCAGTCAAGAGGAACCACAAAGACTCTGGGTCCCCAGTGACTGGGGAGCAGGGAACACTGTTGGGAGTTTGGGGGGCCTGGAAGAAGAGGATGCGTGTGCTGAGTAGGTTGACCTGACAGGGGCTGTGGTCACTGGAGATGTCTACCTGGCAGTTTGGCTTATAGGTATAGAGACCACATGGAAACTCTGAAGACACACAGGAACTTCAGTCCTGAGGGGAAGTCCCCTTAGTAGAGATTGAGGGGGGATGTGGGGTATGGGAACAACAGTATCCTGGTTCTGCCCCTGGGAAGGGGTTCCAGGTACACTATTCCCTTCACAGCAAGGCCTTCATTGCTCTCCACTGCCCACCCCCAACCCCCACCTTCAGCCCTTGCTTTTCATCCCCACATAGAAATCCAAAGGGCAGTTGATCAGGCCGTGGGGCTGAGGGGCCATGACCTTCCTGGGCAAAGGCTGAGGTACCCTGGAGTATTTCCATATCCTTTAAAAGCTCGTGCATTTGATCAAGGAATTTGTTAAACAAACGAGAGACAACACAGCTGAAGGAAGTCCTGTAAGCACTAGGCGCAGCACCCAACCCAAGGATACGAAGACTGACTTGAAATAGCCAATGGGTACTCATGGCACAGGCGGTTACTGTGCATTGGAGGAACTGTGCTAGATCTGGGTGAACAGGAAGTTCAAGAAGACAAGATCTTGCATTCTCTCTGGGAAACAGCAACAAAGCTGTACTGGCTGTGGATTTTACTCCATGTGTTTTGGCTGGAGCAAGGGCAGAAGCGCTCAAGAGCTTGAGCTACCTCAGGAGGTTGGGACACTTCCCAGTTTCCTAAGCAATGAGAGTTTAGATTTTTCGGTCTTCAAAACCATGAAGTCTATCTTTATTTCCTTTGGATGAAAACAACTGTTGATCAGAGAGGACACAAGGGCCAGTCGGCAGGGACAGAAACTTACCACTGAGTCCAGGAACTGAATGTAGCACTCCAGCCCAGGTCTGGTTTCACAGAACTGCCGGAAAAGCAGCCTTCCGATTGGCTGCTTGTCACATAGACTGCAGTAATCTCTGTCTGGAGATAAAACAAGAAAAATGTGGTGAGACCAGAAGAGCGCCAGGCATAGCTACCTGTCACCCCAAACCTGAGTTCAGAATCCTGGATGGATGGGGCAAGATAATGACGAACTCTCAGGGTCCTTATGCCATATCTCACAGGCTCTGCAGACCCAGAGAGACAAGGCCAGCACAGGGAATGGTGACAGTCTGTAGCTGGCTCTGCTTGTCAAAGCCATGATTTCTGTATGGTGGCACCAGTGGCTCTCGGAATAGTGGGCTCCATCCTCTGGTTGGCCAGTCATTATGAAACAGTCCCTGACTCTGGTGGCTGGATGTGGGAGGCAGGCACATGGCCTAAGCCAAGCCGGTCAGTGCTCTCTTCTCTGGAGGCCAGTGCCTGCACAATATCCTTGACCTTGCAGGAGAAGCTGTGGTGAGGATGAGGCTGATCTCAGCTCAGGAGGTCAGAGCTGAGAAAATGACCAGAAACAGAGCTGTCCCCTGGTGATGCCCAGATCTCTGTCTCAAACCATGCCTGCAGCCCACACCTGAAAAACTGATTTATGAGGCAATAATTCACTCTGCTTAAGGAAGTTGCAGGGGGTAGGGGGGGAAGAGAGTCTAAATAATTCAAAGTATCCCAGCGGATAGTCTTTTGTGGGTTTTTTGTTTGTTTTTTTTTTTTTTCATTTTTACACAATTGGAGAAAAGACCATTCTTTAGATGTTTTGAATTATGAAAAATGTGCATTTCCCAAATGAATGGGCACAGAGACAGGAAGTGACTAGCTTTCAGCCACTGGAGAGGAAGCAGGTGAGCCACTCAGATCCAGGGGTAGAGGTAGGAGAGCCAGGCATGGTTACTTTGTTATAGTTCCTTCTCTGAAACACAAGGTGCACTTGGGGATGGGAGCCCAGTTCCTCCCCCCCCCCAGAGCAATGATACTACAGCTTCTCTGAGAAGCTTTCCCTGGCCAGAGGATGCTCAAGGCATTGACTAGAGCACACTGCCCCAGACCCTGGGCATCTGGCCTTCTGTTCTGTACCTGCCCCAGGAACTGATAGCACTTGAAGGCAACTCGGTGGAAAGGAAGGGCTATATCCATGTCAGATACAGAGGAACAGGGGCAACCATCTACTAAAAGAGGACGTGTTACTGGCCTGGTGGTGGGGTTCTTTGGTCTGTTTCATCTCTTCTAGGGAACCTCCTCTCTCCAAGTCTGAACAAATCTCCACCAAACCTTCTGGTTCTAGGGTGATAACGCCTCCCAAGCTTTGGACATGGCATGTGACTTAGCCTCAGCCAGAGTCGTCTGTCTTCCAGCCACAATGGTAGGTTCAAAGATGGACACTGTGACTCAGTTGTTGTCCAACTGAAGTCTGTCTCCTGGCCACAGCCGTAGGTTTAAGGAGAGGACCATGCCTTGGACCTAGACATAGATGTCAGGGCATGTGAGTCTGGTGAACCCTAGAGTCCTCCCTGGGCTTCTCTAGAACTTCCTGGAAAGATGCTTGCTTATCTCTAGAGTGCTGGGGCCTTAGAACTGATAAGATGTCTTTTGCTCCAGGCAACTAGGAGGCTGAGAATAACTCCACAGGGGAGGAGCTGCTCTGCAGGCATCCCTGAGACCAGCCCAGGGACTGGGAGTCTGAATCTGACAAGGACTGCCAGTACACATACTTTGTTCCTTTCAGGAGCAAACAACCTGAGGGCAGGGGCTATTTTCATTCTAAGTATGATATGTAGAAGTCACTCGCAAATGTGGCATTCTCTCAAGTGGATACTTTGATGAACAGGATGAGCCATGTGCCAAGTCCTCCTCTACCTGGCCCCTCTCCAAGAGCTTCAGTGGCTCAGACCAGCCCTGGACTCTCGCCTTAACCCTGCCCTTCAACATGGGCACAGCTCCACCTCTCCAGGCACAGATGGTTCACAAATAGGCACTCTACCAAGCATTTAGCCACAGTGTCTGCCAGGTTCTGAGGGAGCAGGGAGGAGGACTATGTGATTGGAAAGGGCAGCAGGGGTGCATGCAGACAAGATCCCAAGTGACAGATCAGTGTGGTTGTCAGCCACAGGAAGAACCCTGGTCACTGTAGTTCATGGCAGGTCTGTAGCCTGTACCTGTTAGCAAGAGGCCCTGCACATAACCCACCGATCACTGTCTCCCACTCAGTCCGACCCCCTAGGGAAGGAAAACAAACCTTTATGCCTTCCTCCAACCAACGAACTTTCCCTGCAGAAACCCAGAGCCAGGGCAAATTACCACACGTCAAACTTCAGTTTTACTCAATTATGGGAATGAGCACAGTACCTCTTCGTTGATTTGAGCAAGGTAACCCTCCCCATTTCCAGAAGCAATTATGAGATTTCATGTGCCATATTGTGACTCCCTAAGAGTTCATCTGACAGGATTTCTTCTTCTCCATATGGTATTTGCCGTCAGTATGGAAACAAGGCTGACAGAAATGCACTGCACAGTAAACACGGTATAATTCTGACACAAGCTGTCGGCACCTGCCTTCACTGCCTTTCCTGCCTGTGCACAGGATCCCAGGCTAGAAAGCCACTCACTGGCAACCCAGGAAGGAGCAAAAGGACCAGTAAGTGTCTTTCCAGAGTTTGTTCTCAGCCTCTAATAAGGGTAAACGGACCATCATTTACCCACATTTATCCCCCAAAATACAATCTTTGGGATTCCCTTGAGAATGTTTGAGGCCACTGAAGGAAGAATATGAACTTGAGAATGGCCGAGGTGACAGGAGGGAGGGCATAGCAAAATCCTCCACGTGGCAGGAACAAATGTGGAGGGCAGTTTTCTGCAAAGTCGGAGACACAAGGCACTGTGTAACATAGCCTTGTAGCAGACCCTCTCTGATCTGTCTTAACAGTAGCTGGCTGTGCTGTTGACATTCAGGCTATCGGGGAGCTGCCCACATCCTGCTTCCCAGTGTGGCCGGCTGAGGGCAAGTACCAAGAAGGCAAAAGCCTTTTCTCCAGTGGGGAGAATGTGGGAAGCTGTTCACAAGGCACATGTGCACTTCATCTGCAAGCGTGCGTGCGCGCGCGTGCGCGCGCACACACACACACACACACACACACACCAGCTTCTCTAGAACATGAAATCTTGCTTTGGGCTATGTGCCTCATTGGTATTTTCCTCCTTGCTTCAAAGTATTCAAGAATCACTCAATCATTCCAAGTTTGTTCTTTTGTTTACTTCATTCATTCATAAAACTCTCTTCTAAAGCCTCTTGCATCTTTCTTGGTACTAGAAGGTTCTTTCCTTTTTTTTAATTTTTTTTTAATTTTTGTCTTTTTGAGACAGGGTCTCCCTGTAGCCCCAGCTGTCCTGGAACTCACTATGTAGACCAGGCTGGCCTTGAACTCACAGAGATCTGCCTGCCTCTGCCTCCCAAGTGCTGGGATTAAAGGCGAGCGCCACCACGCCCGGCCCCAGTTCTTTCCACTTTAAAGGTCGTTTCTTGAACTCATGGCTGGGTCTGTGCCGACCACAGGGTTCCACGGAGTAGACCTGGAGGAGTAGCTTAAAGAAAATGGACAGAAAGGGGCAGGTGCTCAGGGATGGGGCAAGGCATGAAGAGGCAAGCATCAGCCAGCGGTGTCAAATGGGGGAATGAGCATATCTGGTGACAAGTGTAACTGTTGGAACATTCATATTCGAGCACACGCCACAGCAAGTCTCTTCCTTCTTACTCTTCCCAGGTCAGCCTGATTATCTGCAAGCTGTCAGCCAACAGAGGGCGCAACAAGACCAAGGGCTTTGTCCTGGCCACCTTCCCCCAGCAATAGCTTGGTGTCTGACTTAGACCTCTCCTGGCCTGCTAGTTTGCTCTCACAATCCACTGATAAGACTACCTCAGGCCCATGGCCAGAGACACCACAGAGGAAGAGTCCTGGACAAGAGAAGTCTCAGCTGTCACCAATTCTCCATGTAACTGTGGGCAAGTCATTTCCCTTTATAAGCCTCAATTTCTTCATCTACAAAATAGAAGCATCAGAACAAATAGCTGGAGTCCCTTTGCAGACTGGAGACCTCCTTGTGTGCCAGTTTTGCAAAGGCAAATGATTAGAGGTCTCAGGCTAGACTCCAAGGTCAATACTTGGTTTTATTCAGAATTCCAAAGCTCTGCTTTTATTCAGTCCCAGTGGCAATTCCTGGTCTGGCATCTTCCTCCCTGATTCTAAGGCAAGGGTTGGCAAATTTCTGTAATGACTAGCAAATATTTCAGCCTTTGAAGGCTATATGATCTGGGTTACAGTTATTCAACAGTATAGCTGTAGTAAAAGCCATCTTGACAATGCATGAATCTTCTATGGGTATGGCTGTGTCTGATAAAACTTTATTTACAAAAGCAAGTAGAGAACCATGATTTTCTCATTTGCTAGAATAACTGTTTCTAAGCCCCTGGGTCTCTAGCCCATGTACAATGCAATGTAATGCTGACCAGATTCCTCTGACTCAGTGTCTTCTTCCTGGGGTAAAGAATGCCTGGTGTCTTCAAAACCCAAAGGAGAAGCTGCCAAGTGTTTTAAAAACAACAAAAAAAGTCCATACTATCTGAGCTTGTAACAAAGAGTAGAGGAAGGCAGATCTGAAGCCAGAAAACCCAGGAATGAGATTCCAGATAGAGTCAGTCCCTTTGGGGTCCACAGTGACCCTTGGAAAGAGCCCAAATGTCCATCAACATGTACATGGAAAACCAAGAGGTGCCACCTTCCTATGATTCATTACCACTCAGAATGCATGCCACACAGACATGAATTAGCAGGGCACACATAGCATGGATAGACCCAAGCAACACTGTGTAAGACTGAGAACCTGATGCAAAAGATGTATACACAGTAGACGCTGTTTGTCTGAAACCCAGAAAGGGCAAGAAATCAGTGACAGAAATCAGATCATGGTGACAGGAAATGAAGGAGTTCATGACAAAGGCACATGAAGGAACTTTGGGGGTGATAAAAATGTGCTATGTCATGACCACGGTGTTT